GCGAACGGGGGCGGGGCATCGTGGAGGACGAACATCGCTGGCCCAACGGGCCAGAGGTGCGCTCAGATCTCCGGCGACACATTAACAGCGCATGTTCAATCTGCTCGCGCGGGGCCCCTCGAGACGGCCCAAGAGGCCCCCGAGACGGCTCCAAGAAAGGGCCCATACAGAGGGCCTGACGGGCCACGCCGAGCTCTTCGCCCGAAGTGGCCCCCAGGGGGGGGCTCAGAGGCCCCCGAGGGGCGCCCGCGACGCCTCCGAGCGGCTCCCGACGGGGCCCCCACGGGGGGCCATAAGGCCCCCAAGGCGCGCGAAGCGGGCCAGCGGAATTAGCGGCTTAGCGAAGCGATCAAAAATCCGAATGATTACCAGCCTGGAACACATCCCTATCCTTATGCTGGGCATCGTCTCATCACGATGCCGATCCTAGGGGTTCCCTTTGTTTCTGAGGACGCACCCCTAAGATTGTCATCGCCTTTCGGCGCGTTAATCTCGGGGGGGGGGGGGGGGGGGGGGGGGGGGGGGGATATGGTCGAGGGCGGTGAAATGAGCGCCATTGCAGACTTGCCTTCGCGCCCGCAGCGCAGGACATGCGCGACGCCGGGGGCGCGCCTCCACCGAAAGCCCCCCCCGCCTCGGCGCCCCGGCCCCCCGCGACTGCGACCGCGCGCGCGGGCGCCGCGCCCGCGCCGCGCCCGACGGGCGCAGGCGGGGGCGTCGACGCCGCCCGCCTGGCCCGCGCCTGCGGCGCCCCGCGCGGGGCCAAGAACTCTTCGCGCGCCGCCCTGCGCAACGAGCGGAAAGAACAACAAACAAAAATGAATTATGGATACACTGCGCTGTCCCTTCGGTGGAAACGGCGCGCTCTGGAGGGGGCTTCGGCCAGTCGCTCCGGCACCGATGGGCGTCTGGACGTCGGCGCGAGCGAAGCCTCTGCCACCTGGCATTCGCTGGCCAAGAGACGAAATCTCTGACGCGCGCCCCGCGCTGAGCGCCCTCGAGCTGGGCCCCTGCACACGATCGGCGCCCCCGCAAGGAAAGACGCAGGGCTGCGCGACCTTTTCGAGCACAAGACACTCCATGAACGCTTGGGAGGTCGCCCGAGCACTGCCAGTGTAAGTGGCCAGCGTAACCCCCGACACCTGGTTCATGGATGACGCGGCCCGAAATGAGCTGCCCACCTCTCGCGGCACCGACGGGAGAACACGACCCGGCGTAGACCACGGAATTGAAGACAGATCCCCAAGCACACCCGAGGCTGGAACTGCAATGGAGCAAATGCCCCCCCCCCCCCAGACCGTGAGGCAAGTGAGACATCACCCTGAACTCCGAATAGTCACGCTGCGCTCGCCCATCGTCGGTGCAACACTGAAAACCAAGCCGGCTTACCTTCTGCGAGATTGGCTCGCTGCCTCCCTCGCCTCAAGAAAAGTCATAGAACTTGTGCATATCATGCGCCTCGCCCCCTTGATCCGCGCTGCTATCCAGCACGACGGACAATCAACGGTTAGGGGGGCAGCGTGGCCGAAGCCAACTGCACCCTCCTGGCGACAGGTCGCGCGCCTGGGCACGGACGACCTCCTCTGCCGCCTGCGCATCCACAAGACGGAAGGAGCCCTCGGACACACACAAAAATGAATGAACAAAGATAGCACGATCCCCCATTAGTTCCCCATCCTGTCTGGGTTTTCTTGTTTCCCCCCCTCGCTGTCCATGTTGGCCTACTTACATTTTCCTGGGAGTCGACGTGGACCTGCCTCTGTCTGCTCCTCTCCCTCCTGAGAGACCCTGCGCGCCCTGGCGCAGCGGGCTCACGCCCAGCTCGTCGTGCCTGCCACTCTCGGGCGTTGGCAGACTTGGGTTTGGTGGGACCCGGCTTAGTGATGTGCACTGGGGGACGCCCCCCCCCCGCCGCGTTCCACTAACCGGAACTGCCGTCGCCCGAAAAACCACCAGCTACGGCAGACCCTGTTTAGCGACTCTGGCCTGTTTAGGGGCTCCGGGGCCCTGCCACTGACCCGGCCCCCTTACCCGGGGCCCTGGCGACACCCGGCACTCCCGGGGCGCAGGCCGAGGCCGAGGCCCGCGGCGGCCTCCGCGGACCCTCTTTGTTTCTGCACCTCGCCGGCGGGCCGCTGGGGCGCCGCGCGCCGCGGGCGCCTGCCGGCACCAGCTGAAAGGGCGCCAACGCCCTGGCATCTGCCACCTCCCTCCGCGGTGCCAACTGGAGAGGCCCTGTCGATGTTCAGTGCCATCTCGTGTGCCCCTTCTCTTGGCACAGTGATTCGCAGCAGTCTGGCAGGCAGTGCGTTGCATTGCTGCTGGGCCGCCACGGTTTCTTGATCGAGGGGCCCCCGAGTCACGCAAAGGGTTGCGTCTTACATTCTTCGTCACGACGAGACTATCCACAAAGAGCCCGAGATACTACAGACAGAATTCTGCGGAGAGCCCGTGAAGGACCTAGTGTGCTTTCATCGGTTGATACGTGGAACCCGAGCAATATGCCAGCTTCTTTCGTCTCCCGTGACGTCGGAACCTGCAAGGTAAACCTGCGTCGGCTGGCTGGTTGCCTGCGGCTGCGGAGGCAGCCCCCGCATTTCAGCGCCCAGTTCCACCGTAGCTCGCTTGCGATTTCCTTCCCCGCAGAATTGGCTCCGCCTTCGCACTCTCCAACGATTGGGTGGCAGCTGCGTGGTCATATTTCGCCCTCTGTAGACTGGTGCGGGCTTGGTCAAGCCGCATCGAAACATTCCGCCGGGAAAAATAGGTTCACATATAATTTCGTGCGAACCACCTCGGGTTGCTCACCGACGAGAGCGAAACAACTCGCGTCCACCTTACCATCCTCCAATCATTGAACACGCTTGCTTACCCTGATAATCGATGTCTCCACGTAGCTCATCTGACTCACAGGACTCCGTTGTGCCCCCCCCCCGTCGCCCTGCGGGGCTCGAGGGCGGAGATGATCTGCCTCGAGCTCCTGCGAACGCTTCCCCAGCCTGGCCATGGCCGATGGCTTCTCGGATCGGGGCAAAGCTTTCTTTTTTGCGGCGGGGCATGTCGGGGGGGAAACCACTCACTTGAAACTTGCATTTTTTGTGGATCTGGCATTGGTAGCACCTGTCATTCGTTCTATACCTGAGGGGAGGAGCATAAGTGTGACAAAATATGCAGAGCTTGCACATCCATGTTCTTCCGCATCGTTGCTCCACGGCGACGGGGTCATGCAGCCGTGACTGCAGCAACAGAGGGGCCGACAAAACCCGTGCGGTGCTGGCTGGGAGGAGCGTCGAGCGTAAACGCTGTGGCACTGCCGCGAGCCAGCGGTCTCCGCTTTGTTCGCAAAGGAACGTGAACACGTGAGCCAAAATGGCTACGGAGGAGGATAACGAAAAGAGGAGGGGGAGGAGGAGAAGAGAAGGAAAGGGAGGAGGAAAGTAGGGACGAACACGAGGGAAGGGGGAGGAAGAGGGAGGGAGGGAGCATGGAGTGAGGAGGAAGGGTGCAGCAGAGAGCAGGAGGGCGGGAGAGCAGGAGGAAGATTGGCGGCCCTCGTGACCTTTTGGAAGCTGCCGCGGGCTTCCTGATGCCTTGCTGGGCTTTCAGGAACTATCCGAATCTCGCACACGTTGATTATGCTGATAAACGCGCTCCAAGCCATGAGGTATACTGCGCGCAACAGCGGAAGACTGTCGTTCGAAGTGCATTTGGGAGAGCCAATGTTATGAGGGCATACGCCAACGTTGTGAATTTAACGAGCATGTGGTCGGAAAATGCAATGGCATCGCAAACGAGTGTATGTAGTTCAGAACAGAACTTGCTCCAGACATAAGAAAATGCTGGAGGTCCTGGGACGGTCCTGGAAACGATCAGGAAGGTATCACGGGCGTGATCCACATGCTGGCATCTATCTATATATGTCGTCAAATACAAGTAGATTCCTGTGTACATCTATATATACATACAGGGATACACACGTAGCTGCTTGGGCTGTCATGATTTCATGTGTACCCACGTGGCAGACGACACGGTGGCACACACACACACCAGCTCCAGAACGTTCCAAAGTAAGATGTCCGACTCCATATGCCCACATCCTTCCCCAAGCACTGCTTGCTCTGAGGGGTTCGAACCTGATTGCCGCATTCGTCTTTGCAGCCAAGTGTTCTTACCTTCCCACGGGCAAATCAACACATACATCCCGTAGGCAAATTCGCTGAACGCTCAGGCCTGCTGTGTCGGATCTGCAGCGGCGCATAACGGCTCCGAGCAACACTTGCAGCTAAACTCACTATGCGGGGTTGGAGCAACGTTTCTGCGCATCGCTGGAGCTGCGGCTCCATGGTGCCGGCTAAAGCGCGACGATTTGCCAATCTAATGTAGGACCAGTGCCGCAAAAGCAGGGGCCCTAAATCTCCGACTTATCCTATTCAAGAACTCCCCGCAAGCAAACTCAACACATCGGCGCGAGTGTGGGATGTTGTTGGCGGTTCTCTCTCAATTCTCGCAGGGGCTCTCATTATGATCAGGGTCCCACACGATAGGGTCCAACGCGGTAGGGTCCAACGCTGCAAAGTCCTACGCGATAGTAGCGCCCCGAAAGACGGGATATCATATTTCGTGTCTCACATGTTATATCCAATACACCTGTGCAGCTCAAAAGATACATCTCATGGGTTGGACCCCAGTGCTCTGGGCAAATCTCAAGGACAGCGCGCGGTCCGCCCCTGAATGACCGCCACATTCGTGGTGCGACGAGGGGTCCTTATCCAGAGCAAGAGAAAGGAGGAGCACGAGCAGATACGATGTACGTCGCCGCCAGGAGGTCTCCTGAGGTAACCAAAGGTCTCCCTGGAGGATCCATGTTCCCTCTTGGGTCCTCAAGAGGCCCAGCTGAAGCCAAACACGGGATGATCAATATCACAGAAGCAGGAGGGCGGGAGGAGGAGGAGGAGGTGTGCCCGAGAGGGAGGAGAAGAAGGATGAGGAGGAGGAGGTGC